GAAAGTTGATTAATCGAATATCCCGATGGCTAATTTTCTTTGAGGCGAATTTTTAGAAGCGACAAGTACTACTGGAGCTAATTTTCCTACAATGTCGATTGCCTTCCTTTGGTTGCAGGGAAAAGTTGCAGCAAAACGTAAATGTTTTGGGAAAGATCTCTCAAACAACAAATTTTTGTTCCTTATTATGTGTAAAACTCCAGACTTCTGTACCTATCTACATTTATTTTCGTACACCCTACTGCATCAACACAGGGAGTTTTTTTTTATTAAAAATGTAATGCGAGTGGTATAATTTTCTGCACGAACGGCAACATTCAAACTTAGTTATTTAAAAAATGTTTTGGCCACGATAAATAAAGGTTTTCTCCATTCTTATTCCAAATGAAACGATTCGTAACGCTTTCGAATTAAATTAATTCAAGATAGTCACAATTATTAAATTGGATCTAGTTATATTTGGAGGACAAAAATTTCTAAATTAATTGAACTAGCCTTTATTGACCCCCATTTATTATACAAATTCGAATTACACTAAGTACACCATTAATGTTTTGTGTACATTAATTATTTAAATGAATTGGACCTGATTTACAATCCATAAGACGTCCATAGTAAATACGGCCTCGTGAATGAATTTCTACATTTAGTCAATCAGTCTCATCGGAAAACCCCGAATCCATACTTGGGATAAATTTCCACGCACGTTTCGCAGTTCCTTAAAAGCCTACGTCAACGTGATGGACAATGTAGATATTTTATTTCCTGCGTTTACCCTCTCTAATTTGATACTCGCGTGCGCTGCCTATTATTGGGAAAATTTACGGGTATTTGAAAACTTTTTTTAAAATCCTATCGGAAAACGGTCGTACCTACATAGCGTAACGATCTCTACGAGGGTAATCACTGTCATACTTCATGAAGTTTTACGATAGGAAATAATTCAATTAACCAATTTACGGAACGGTACCTCGCAATTAATATTGATTATGTCTCCTAGAAAGAGTATCATTATTCACATTCTGTTAAATAGGAAATTGACCTCGTGTGCATCGTAGGGCCATTAATAAATCATGCCGCCGGCGTAAAACCCCTAATGTTTACATTAAAGCAAAGGGTCACTTATTTATCAACTTCCAGATACCAGGGAAACGAATTAATTTGTTTGATTTGCATACATCACATACACACCCAGTATAAGGGGTAGGTAGATGTATGTATGCTGTCTCTTTGCGAACATTTCCTTTTTTTCGTTTATTATTCCACAAAAATATCACTACCCTTCTCTCGAGAACTTGCATTTCGATTTAGGAGAGAAGTGAAGAATGGTTTAGATAATACTTCTTTATTAATTTTCAATACTTCATCCGATTGATAGTAGCTTAAAACTTTTTAATAGCCTGCCTATTACAAAATGAGAGCCAAGTGATCACTATTATGCAAGTAAAAGAAGCAAATCCCGCAGCAAAATATTAACGTCAAACTCTACAAGTGGTGTTGTTTGTTTACTTGCACAACAAACGTTTCAGATTCTTTCAGCTGGTAAAAAGCGACTCTCCTTCGCGATTTGCCATAAACCAAGCCCATCAACACATTTTTTTACACTTCTTTTTGACATTAAAACGGTTCAACGCATTTATAGCGACGTAATCTGCATATCTGCTGTCGCGGAAAGATTAATTGATTTAATGGCAGTACATGCAAATTAGTGTACACTTCTTGTCATAATAAAATATTCAATTATACAAATTAATTGTGGCATTTAAAGAGCTTAAATAGAATGATTTATTTTTTTCTTGCATCTGAGATAGTTGCTTAGTTTTCAGTATGAAAATATATCGGTACAGGAGTCAAGGAAACTTAATCAATGCTTCAAACAGAAGAAGCTCCTGAAAAGGGTGTTTTGCTTAAAAAAGCTCTATAATGCGCATTGGAAAAAAGCTCGAGAGCTCTTACCCGATTTCTGTTGCTCTAAAATGCACTCAGAGACGCGTCCACGTGGCTTTCGAAAACCTTGGTCCTATCAGGAATTTTTTTGGTCCGTTTCACAGTATAAAAATCCTATAAAGACCTAGAAGGGAACTAGAATTATCTGTTAAGTGCTTACGAAGCTCTAAAATAGAAAGGATTCAATAATCTATGATAGCGCATCGAAAACTGGTAGGTTCTTAAGGGTCTAGAACTAGATAATGCGCAATAACAAGCGTTATACTGTAATCTAGTGTTGTCCAAAGCCTCTTCAGTGTAAAACTGAGACCCAAAACACCTATACAAGGTGTAGAAACGGTTTACGCACCATAGGGATGTCATTGGTAATTTCTTTGTATCGAAATAGTTCTCCTCCTAATTTTTTTAATTTAGAGGAAAGTTGCAAATAGGTTTCTCGTACCTTGAAAAATTCTGCGTCTGCTAATATCCTCATTTATGGGTTTTCAATTCGGGAAACCGGAAAAAATAAATAATTTACAATTTAGTATTTGCGTAAAAATCGAGTTTTTGTTTCAATAAATTCCACGGCACCAGTGATTTTAGTAGAAATCAATTATTGAAACAAAAATTAGATTTATAATTATAAAATGCCAATTTATAATTTCCTCAATTTCTGCGATTTCCCACAAGAAAAAATACAAATGGGCACATTAGTAAATGTGGAATTTTACAATATACAAAAAACTGATTTACAACATTCCTGTAAAATAATTAGGGGAGAAAATATTGGTGCGTAAACCAACTCTACACCCTGTGTAGCACTTTCATTATTAAGGATCCTCAGATCCTTTATAGTTTTGTATAGTATTGTCGTCCGTCCGTCCGTCCGTGTGCGCTCTAACTCTTTTTAAAAGTGGCCGATTGTGTTGAAATTTGGTGTACGGGTACGTTGGACATTAAGGACGGACGCTATTAATTTTCAGGAAGCTGATTCAACAGGAACAAAAGTTGTAGGACTTGGAGTGAATCGGGAACAGGAAAAACTGCGAACTCAATATAGGTAATAGAAATCAACATATTTCATTCCCTAGCTCATGTATCGAGTTCAGGCTTAGACTCGGGCTTAGATTATTCCCTATGACTCTTAGAAGTGTAACAATTCAATATAACTCTTCTCTGTAGTCTAGATCAAAAGTTTTAGAGCAAAATGTACCCAAAATTATTCTTTACACATGAATTTAGAGTTGTAAAAGCTTGCAAACGCATTATCTTGATGTTGAAAGAGTTGATATCGTGCACGTTTGATAACTGCATGTGTGTGATTCAAAAAATTTAAATTATTTTTCTGAGGCCACATGGATTTTGATCAAAATATGTCAAAATCGTTATTTATGCACCAAGATCGTTGGGAAAACGACTAGGGGCATTATCTCAATGACATGAATTTGATGCATTTTTGGCGACCACGTAGATTTTGATCAAAACATGTCAAAATCGTTATTTATGCAGCAAGATCGTTGGGAAAAAAACAAAGAGCATTATCTCAATGCCCAAGACATGAATTTGATGCATTTTTGTTAACTATAAAATGTATTTTACAAGATTAAAATAAATTGTCGTTAAAAGTGATTGTAATACTGAGGATCCTTCGATGTTTCGTTGTATCGGTTTATTTCTTACGTGTTTTCGTATTATTAAACACTTAAGTCATTTCCAGAGCCTTATAGTGCTGCATACGTGACTTCCCGGTTTAGAAGTGCCTATTAAAAAGCACTTGAAATGATTCTGAACACTTTTGTTTAATATTTGAAGAAAATGTTGCATTTTTATCTTAAATTTCTTTTAAACTGTTTGCTATAACAGTGTGAAAACGACACATATCTACTGATGATGTCAAAACTTTCAGTGCAAATACCTTCAGAACGGAGTGGCGAAGGAGGGTACTCTCAAAGGGCGGAAAAATCGTCTGGAAAAGACACATCTACTGGCGATCTAAAAACTTAATTGTGAATATCTCGAAAAAATGTTGGAGGAAGGGAGAATACAATATTTCGGAGAATTTCTCTAAGGGCTTGATTCTTCTTGCCGAGTAAATTTTGATTGTATGCCAGGCGGCCTTTAAATGTTTATGTGTAAAAAGCCCCCTCTCCATTAATCATTTGCCAAGAAATAAATATAGCATACTACCTTATAACCCAACTATTTACTCAATAATTCTAAGGGGGGCTGAAGATTCTGAAGGTTTTATACACATTCCAATAATCTAAAAATATTCTAGGACGAGTAGAAGTAAATTGCCAGAAAAACGGTTCTTAGAAGAATAATTTATTCTTATAATTATAATTATTATTTATCAAACTATTTTAAAAAGTACATGTTCTTGAAAATACATCATATTCAACCCCCGAAAACTACCAAATTTTTGAACTTGTGTATTTATCATGAAAAATTCATTAAATACAATTTTGCCTGTGCTTGGGATCTCAGAACGGAGACTAAACAAGAAGTTGCGGTTATTTTATTGAGTGTAGAGTACTAAACTAAGGGGGACACAAAAATTTGTATGGATCTGTATACTTGGAGTTGTGCAGTAAAGTTACACACTACTTTTAGTTTTGAAAAAGGTATTCATTATAGTTACGTTTATATTTTTACCAAAGAATATTCGTCGGCCTCCCCAATGTTTATTAGTAATTTTTAAGAGATACTTTAATAATTGTGACCACCTTGGAATGTCAGAGCAGGGGTTGATGAAAATGAATCTTTTTCAGCACATTTAAAAATAAATATAAATATGACGTCATAACACTCTGAGTTCTGATGGCTAATCTTAATGAATTCCCAGACTTGTTAATGACCGTAAATTTGCAAACAAAAAATTGTGGAGATTCAACAAATATGGGATTTTTTATGAAACATCATGAGTCAAAGGAAATCGTAAAAGTTATTGGCAATTAAAATTGGCATCGATGTACGACTACGAAACCGCGCCTTGTTGTTTCATAAAAAATGTGAAGTGTAAAGAGTGGTTTGGTAATATTTCGCGATAAATCTAAAACCAAAACACTTACCTGAACAATTGATTTGGTCTGCTTTGTAATATCGTCTGTAGATCCTTGTGCGGATCTCGGGGCTCGTATACATCCAGGAAACATTCCGACTAGCTGGCGAGAGTGCTTTCCTTTCGATATGCACTAATTCATTTCACTACTGGCACTTGTGGTTTTGTGTAATAACATTTCGACTTTATTATAATACTGATATTTGGAAGACGTACAAAGTTCTGAAAACTTACAGATTTCTGATCATACTACTTTTTGCCCAATCTACAGTCTCTCATTTCAAATTTATATTCCTTGCACTTCGATTTTGTTTACATCACTTTATAAAGGAGATAAACCTGGAGAGGAGGGGAGGGGGGGGGGCACTTGACAATACCCTTATTTGCATACCTACGGCCAATTCAATGGGGGTTTAAAAAACTAATGAACATGTGCGGTTTTAAAGGTTTATTCAAAACGATATGATTGTGGCGGGCTCTGTGGCGTAATAAGCCCGACCAATCAGCTCCTAGAACCATTCAGATGACATAACGACTTGGCAATATTGCAGGAGAATGGCATTTATAACTTGCGTCATCTGTCACAGGCACTTGTCACTTTCGTGCTAGATCACAGCCGTCTATAATTACAAGCCGTGCTGAGAATTATGGCAACACTGCATGGTAGGCCGATTTCCTAATTCAACTTGACAGATTTCAGGTGTATTTTATACGTGTTTTGGGTGTAATATTCCTATTTACCTGTTTTAACAGAGCGAGAATGCGACAATTTGTGTTACTCCGTATAGAATGAACAGAAATTATTATTCAGGTAAGTTGCTAAACGAAATATATGGATTTGTTGTCTTAACCTCTAAAGCAGGCTACTTGTTACTGGACCCTTTACAAGCACTTGTATTTGTTCAAAGTACCTGTACAAGCTCAAATATGACCTACACACTACGTGGTACGTAAGTACGGTAAGTGTTTATCGTGAAAAAACACAATTAGTTTGTATTTCAGGTATTCTAGCACGGACATGTCAAATCGATTTTCTGAAGGAACCTTTCAACTTATTCCCAAGAGTTCATGGTACGGGAATTTGAAGTCTACGGGGCTCCCCTCTTTAAAAGCTTCGTACCTAGACCCACTGGAATAGCGACGGGCTTAAAATCTGCCATTCTGAATCACACCTGGTGGTTGATAAAACCTGGCTGATGCACAGCGATTTACTATCCTTTTGCCGAAATTAAGTGCTCAAGCGTGTGCTTCACCTACACCTCTTTCGACAGAAGTTCACCAATTTCGGAGATCTCGATGGAAAACACATTATGATGCAGTTACCAATTTACAGCGTTCCGAATTTTAAAGTCAAATAAAAATGTTATTATCCATTTTTGTAAATAAATAATATATATGCACAATTGTAAGCTGCCTAAGTATCTTTCTTCTACATTAAAACCGCCAAGGCGAAACACAGGAGAGAGGAAAAATGCAATTTTGCAAGAGCAACAAGACGCCATTAAAATTTACATCGGCCCACCGATTGACTTTCGAACAACGTTGCCAAACTTCTCAGCATGGCTTGTAATTATAGACGGCTGTGTAGATGCAGTTAAACATCCCTCTCAAAACGTCAAATGTGACAAACGTCAGACCCTCGCGTAAGGTTGCCAGCTCACTTCTACGTGATTGGTTGTAGGTTTGTGACGTATTTAGTCTGAAGCGTTTCAAATTGGGACTAAAAACACAGCTTTTCAATAATTTATTTTGGGTTTATTTTACTCGCAAATAAAAATTGAGGACACATGGGTCTTTTTATTTTTAATGTACTTTGTGGATCAGAAATAAAAAATGAAGGCGGGATGACCCCATTCTTCATTTATATACCTTTGTAAAAGAGATAACAAGAGCAAACTTATGGTTGCTGAGAAAAAAATTAAAGAAGAAATCCAAATTACACCACTGCTTTGGAGGTGGCTCCCAAACGAAACACGTTGGACCCTCGGTTTTTTAGGAAAAGTGCTTGTCTTGACACTAATCAGCAACAGTAAAATTTTAATATACGTCCAGCGATGTTAGAGTTGTTTTTTTTAAATGTTATCTACTGTAACGTTGTGTTCCCGTGTGAAGATAGCAATAACCAGCCAACAACAGATTTTGTAAATTTCTTGTGAAGTTAGCGATAATGATGCATAATAAATATGCAAAAATATGCGTATGCATAAATAAAATCATATGTAATGGTGTTTGGACACTGATATCAAAGATTGCAATTCATATTAAATCTACCTAAAATATCATCCCTTGAAAAATGACAATAAAAATTTATAAACATTTATATACGCTAGGTGGCTATTGCGTTTTTGCACATGTCAAAATTTAAACAAAAATGTCGACGTTTTAGATTATTTTAAGCAAGTTTTCAAAAATAAAATTTTCCCATCTGTATATTGGGCCTACGGAAACGGAGAATAACGGGCCGGATTTTTGAAACAAAAAATTTTGCCCGCCCCAATCCAAATTTTTATTAAATTATTCGAAAGACTTACTTTTTCTGTGTGCAACCTACAAAAATTATGCTAGGTTTTGTTACAAACAAAAACGGAGAAAAAATATCAATTCTTTTCCCGGAAGATTCGTGTCCAGAATATTCGCTTCCGAAAAAAATCACCGCACTATACAGGGTGTTTTTTTGGGAGCTTTAGTTAAACGTTTCTGGAAAAGTAAAATAGGTAGGTTTTTGAAAATTTGTAATTAGGAGTTACTCTGAAGGCCGAATCGATGTAAAATATTTTCAAAATGCCCGCACTTCCGGAAACACCGGAAGTAGATAGTAACTTCGTTATTTTAAATAGCAACCCCTATTTTTTATTGCATTTTTGAAGTCTACGTGAAATTTCAGTTCTTTTGATACCCACATGCCGATATCTGCCATTCATGGTTTTTAAGTTATTTTGACTTTAAGAAAAAAAATGGCGGATCCAGATGGTACTTTGATAATTGATTACTTGAAAACGGTTGTAGTCATGACAACCCATTTTTAGCAGTGCCTAAAGAATGAATAGGGCTTTCTTTTAGTGTACTTAAAAAAAGTTAAGTTGCGTACGACCGCCCCTATGGAGATCCAAATTTATGAAACTTCAAAGACTAAAAACTCAGTTTTTTTAATGGAATGGCCATTTTCTTACTATTGCATGAGATAAAAAATCGAAATGGGCATATTTTGACAATACATGTTCCTATAGCTATCTTTAACAGTTTCTGACTTACCTATTCCCATTTTATTGAAATGACACTATTTTTTTCGGATTTTCTTTTTAGTAGTCGGCCATGATTTTATAACAATTGAATTTTAAACAAATCTAGTGACACCAATCCGTCACCTACTGTTATAGGTTAACATAAGTCGAGACATAAGTTTTTCAAAAATCGAAAAATGACTCGCAGTGGTTTCACCTATTTTGGAATTTAATTGTTATTTATGGTGAAATGGACAGAATCGCGGCAAGTGCTTGCCGTACATTCTTCGAACACTGGAACGAAATTGAATGAATTTTAGAAATTTTGTACCCCCAAATGCACTACATACCGGTGAAGCACAAATGATACAAAGCTCTACAAGAGAATATTTAAGAAAATGAATTGAATTGCAAATGCAAGATTAACAAACTAAATTCAATGCAAAATATAAAAAACTTCGTTGAAACAGTTTTGGTATGGAATTGTTGCTAGAACAGATATCGCATTACCTCTCTTAATTTCCAGACTTATGCGTTGTTTAAGAAATTCAGTTGAACGACTCTGTCTAGATTTGTCAAAAATTTTCCGTCCTATATCCTTAACAAAAAACTTATTTATTAATGAATCATTTAGACTAGAATCAATGATATTAACGAATCCATTCCTTGATTTGTTTAAAATTCGATTGTTATAAAATCATGGCCAACTACTAAAAAGAAAAAATGGCATCAATTCTGAGATCAATTAAACGAAATAGGAATAAATCAGAAACTGTTAAAGATACCTATAGGAACATCCGTAATATCAAAATATGCCAATTTCGATTCTCCATCTCATGCAATATTAAGAACATGGTCATTCCATTTAAAAAAACTGAGTTTGTAGACTTTGAAGTTTCTTGAATTTGGATTTCCATAGGGGCGGTCGTACGCAACTTAACTTTTTCTTTAAGTACACTAAAAGAAAGCCCTATTTGTTCTCTATGCACTGATAAAAATAGGTTGCCATGACTACAACCGTTTTCAAGTAATCAATTATCAAGGTACCATCTGCATCCGCAATTTTTTTTCTTAAAGTCAAAATAACTTAAAAAGCATAAATGGCAGATATCGACATATGGGTATCAAAAGAATTGAAATTTCACGTAGAATCCAAAAATCCAATATGGGTTACCAATTTACCATTTAAAATAACGAAGTTACTATCTACTTCCGGTGTTTCCGGAAGTGCGGCCATTTTGAAAATATTTTACGTCGATTCGGCCTTCAGAGTAACTCCTAAGTACACATTTTCAAAAACCTACCTATTTTACTTTTCCAGAAACATTTAACTAAAGCTCCCAAAAAAACACCCTGTAGAGTGTTTCTGAAACACTATATGTATAGCATTTCCAAGAAAACCCGTAGTTATCAAATGGGATGTTTGCCTGTTCACACAATTTGAATCGGGGATTTGTCCAGAATTTTGTGCCCCCAAGAAAACTCTGCCCAGAAGATTTGCCTTCGGAAAATTTGCCTACAGTATCTTCGGTCTTCTACACGTCCACCGTTTTGATTTACTTTTAAGACAACGTTCTGAATTCTTTTGCAATAGCTAGCGCCAGCCTATACCTCCCGTTTTTCTAATATCAGAAGCGATAGAAGAAACGGTATACCTCAAAACATGACAGATTCAACATTTCTTTTCCTACACCTCATAAGATTTTTGTGCACTGGGCGGTATTCCACACCCATCAGACGCCACTGGTGTTACATTCTCTCTCGAAACATTCAGCCATAAGAACATTTATTGTAGTTTTATGAAGGCCACCGAATCCTTTTTTAAGGAATTCCAACCCTACAGGCTTCTGGTGTTCCGTTCGATGGTAGGTACTTTTCTAAAAATTATGCTATGCACTAAAAGAACCGGGGGGTGGCAGATTTAACGTTCCTTTTCCAACACATATTACCTTTGCCATAGATTAAAAATGTGCCTTTGCCGAAAAGTGAAAAAAGCATTGGAATTTAAAATTGTCTACACCCCACTCTGTTCCGCCCTTTCACTTTATGAATGAGATTTGCACTTGGTGTACTTTTCTATGTAGACGTGACAAAGATCTTCAACGAAACGGTGACGTACATTTCTATTGTTTGTCAAAGTTTTGCATTAAATTATTACTTTGGGAGGTGGTATTCGGGCGGATTTCCGGTTGCGTGGGTTACCTTAATAATCCTTAAGTCGCCCACTTTACTTTGACGAATCTTTGTAGAATATCAATCAATCAATGGAGAATTCGATCAGAAAGTGCAAGTTACGTAAAATAGAGAAATTTTCAACGTAAAGATATAAATACACCTAATGGTTTTTGAATCCAAATATAGCACGAAAAAAATAAGGCCGGGAAGAGCTGAGTCATTTTACCTATATTTAATTTTCAGTGTCTTTGCTCTGGCTCGGCGAAAGTTTTAATGACAAACGCCCTGACTTTTCTCCGCTTCAACCACTTGTCAATCCGACGAAAAGCACCGTTTTGATTAAAAATGAAAAAAAATATAGCAATTAATAAACATGCCACTATAAAGGCACCGACAGGGTAATGTGTACTGGAAGGATTTATTTGTGAGCCCTGCAATACGTACCGTAGCATGAAATTGAATTCAAGTTTTATGTGCTAATTTTCCCGGTTTCGGTTATGCAAACACAATATTTACTTTACGATCAGTTGCAGTATTTCCATCACAGGTGGTCTCTATATGGAAACATCGAATGTAAATATTTCAATTTAGTTTGAAAGTTTACTTTGGTGGTCATGTCCATTACCTGTCTTATATGTAAAATGTCGACTATAATTTCCCATTAATATAGCTATTAAATCCTAGCACTTACGCCGCTTCAGAGCGAAACCGTAACTCACAACTTTATCCCAGCAGAGCTTGTCTCATCACCGTGACTTTCTGAAAACGTAGGTACCCGTGGCGGATTTATGATTTGGTCTGGGGAGGGGCGCATACAATTTTGAAGTGAATATATTAAAGAAACCTTTATTATACGTTTAAAAATAGTTTAGTTTAGTTTAGTTTTCCTTTTTGTCGGCGCAAATCTATTTTCCACGAAATTTTTCCAATATAGGTATCCTTATACGATTAGGGCATTGTGCGCAGGTACACCATCTTGCTGAAACCAACAGTTTCCCACATTTGTTTGCTTTTGTGTGCCGTACATCGTTTTATTCGTAGGAAAAAATGCTACTCAATATAGTATCTACTTTTTACGGGCCATATAAAAAAATAAACTTGATAATGATTTCTCCGAAATGAAACGTCTCAATGTCTCTTGTATAACTCAATAAGTGACAATGAGAAAATGTTTTTTTTTGTATCTGCTCAAATAGCATCAGACGAGAATAAAAACGAAATCTGGGACACAGTGTATAGCTGCACTTCACTCAAAAGTTATCATCTGCAGCTGCCAGAAGAGTATTAGGTATTAATATATTTATGTTTAAATTAAAAAATTTTTTTTTCACTAAAACGATGTTTTAAGTCAGTTATTAAATGATTAAGAATTGGAATGTATAAGTCTTTTCCAATAGGCACTAGGTGACCGCCTGCGTAACTACCACTGTCTAGGAGGGTCTAGGGGGGGGGGGGGCTTTATATCCGCGCCCGGTAGGTACACGCACACACTGGTGTCATTGTCCCACTCGGCTTCTTCTCACATCAACATTTATCTCGAGTGAAAAAATCGGCTTTCAAAAACCGAAATTGGGACCCGTGAGGTTAGCAGAACATTGGCGGCACAAATTTCGGAATTTCGCCAACAACATTTTCAGATGTGCTGCTAATAGGGCAGTTATTAGGGATTTTTCCCTAGAAGTTTTGTAGGTTTGGGCGCGTAGAACTAAAATTCACAAAATGTACAATTCGAAACTTTTTTTGCAAAATGCAAAACTGTGCATGTTCCGAAAAAATGTATGGCGAGTCTGCCGTTTTCAGAATAAGTATACGGGGTCAGGTGAAAAAGTTAACGGTCAGAATTTGATTTTTTTAATGGAACACCCCGTAGATTTCAATCCAAAAAGATAGCACATTAAACTCTCTTTTCAGAAATATAAAAATCATAGATGCCATTGGATTTATATGCGATTCATATACACTTTATTACTTTAAACCACAGTCGGCTATGAAACAAAAGCTAATCTCCTAGAAACGAAACTATGTTGACATTGTAGCTGGAAAGACACTAAACAATATATTTTAACAAAGAGTAGAAGAAATAGTTGACACAAGAAAATAAATTAAAAAAACTACTCATACCTAGAAACTTGAGAACTAAGTAAAAGATTGTTTCATTGCCTACTGTGCTTTAAAGTAATAAAGTTTAAAAAAATCGCATATAAAACCAATATCATTCATGGTGTGTTATATTTTTCAGAAGAATATTGAATATGTTATCTTTTTAGATTAAAATATACAGGGTATTCCACTAAACACAATAAACAATATGCCAAAAATCTTATTTAATCATGAATGGTATCAAATAAAGCCAATACCATAGCCATTACCAACCATTATTTGAATGTGTTTTATATCATTTGAAACATACATCTAAAAAACGCCCTTTACAATAAGGATCATCAGTGGTCCGCCGAAAATGTGTGAATTATCTATTTGGGAAGCCCGTTAGAAGCGTTGATCAGCCCTGCTTTAAACCATTGGAAGCAAATAAGACCTTGTTTTGGCTCAATAGCCGACATGTACGGCGAACCTACAATTAATGTGGGGATGTGAAACACCATTAACAATGCCGCAAAGGCCTAAAAGGTGATGTTGGAAAGGCTCTTATTGAAGAAACGAAGCTGGCACCCACTTTCTTCTCCAAGACAAGGAAGATATATTACCTTATGGCTTACATAAATGAACCATTGAAAGCAAATAAATGTACAAATTACGTATAAATGCCATGGTGCACTTAACAGTAAAAACTTTAGACGCACCCTGTAAATAAAACCCCCATCTTTTTCAATAATCTGTGATGTCATGGAATTTTATAATACAAAAACTACGCCAATATCCGTCATGCCATGAAATGTCTGCTATAAAACAAATGAAATTCTATCAAAAAGTATTATATTTAGAACAGCGAATTCAACATAAAGAAAGACCAAATTACTAAAAACGGTTTCCTAATATAACAATTTACAATAAATGTTCGAATAAGTCACCATTAAGTGCAAGACAGAAACCAAGTCGATCATAAAATCCATTTCGAGCTGCTGCTAATTGATAACTGGATATTGTTTTGTTTTAGAAAATTCCATGGCATCGCAGATTATTGAAAAAGATGCGCGTTTTATTTTTCCAATTTTCCGTCTTTATTATGTAAAAAATTGAAAACTAATACGATTGATTGGCGTAAAAAAATTTTTTCTACAAAAAACCTTAATACATTTTTGCTCTAAAATAATTTGGGGAGCCAATAATCGCATGTTATGAATTTTACATTGAAATCCCTATGATGCGTTACGCAAGTCAACACCCTGTATATTTTTTCGCATCTATTTCGATTGTTCTGTGTCTTGAAATAAATGCATACGAACGCGATTTTCATTAGAAGCGTGATAAAGACGACGAGGATAAACAGAACCTAAGATTTCCGTCTCTGTCATACGTTGAATCGACCATGACATTGCTTCACAACTGAAAGAGCAGTTCATACACCTTTATCCATTTTACACCGTGATACCAGTGTTCTTTCCCTTTGCACCAATCTTTGCTAAGGAGTAGGGGGAAAAAAGCTGACAACAGTTTCTTGATTCAACACCGTGAAGGAAAGAACTACGTTTTCTCCTCCATCTTCCCTCCGTTACCGCAACTCACAGAAATTGAACTGACAACTGTAAATTGTCCCGAACAACATTAACAGTTGAGTATCAGCAAACTGGTAGTCGCGCATAGGAAAATAGGTGGTCTAGACACTATTGTGACTCCTAAAAGAGTGCCCTAGTTCTTGGGAGCGAATTTTCCTCGAGATGGAAGATACTACCAGCAAATTTTCCGAGAGTGAATTTTCTGGGAGCGAGTATTCTGGGCACGACTCTTGCGGGAGAGAAGTTTTCTGAGGACGAATATACCGGGGGAGGATTTGCGGAGGTGAATTTACCGGTGCGAATTTTACCGCAAACAGTTTCATACACCACGATCAGAATTTTCTAGATCGTGCGTTGACCATATTAATATTACCCCAATTATAACAAACTCGATTAGCTTCACAAAATTAAACCCTCACTTTGTACATCTGCACTCAGCTTTATATCGACGAATGTTAGTTTCGGCGTTTATAAACTGAATTTCAATTAAATCTGCCAATTATCTCTTTGTAAAGCGAATGCAATATTGTTACAATCCACTTTTTGACTTCAAATTACATTTTACTCATACCACGAGAATTTCGTTCCTGAAACGTATTGATTCCTATCATAAAAAATGAGTGTTAAAGACGGCGTAATTAAATGTTATCTTGATTGTAGGCAATTAAAGACATAAATTTCCATCGTGCAATTTGCGGTGCGTTTTTTGTAATTGCTTTTAATTAAATTACGGTACGTGTTGTTAAAGTAGCATAAAAAAAGCATTCTATTGGTGCCAAAAAGTTCGATTGACTTCCGCATCTCTATTTATATTTCGCTGAAAAGTGCAAGTACATTTTATAAAATTTGGTGGTTGTTACTATCCCAATCGGAAGCCTCCACTTTCATTCATAGCGCACAGTCTTTTTCATTCAAGACTTTTATATAAACAAGCAAAAAAATAGAATGATCAAAAATCGCATCCTGAATTTACCTCACGTAAAACAACACTGTAAAAAGAAATTTAACAACACTAATATTTTAACTATAAACGTCAATAACGTGTAACAACACAAACAAACTTGAAACGCGAATATATTAGTATTTCCGCTTGCGGACGGAAACGACGCCGGGCGTCCCGAACGTTTCACAGACCGGTAACCCAAAAGTTGACTGCACGCCTGCAGGCAAGGCGCCGACTGGCGTCCGTTACGCACGCGCCTCCTACGCATCAGCTCACTATGATTATTTCACCTACTGAACGAAAACATTATTAAGGGTTATTTATTTATGGAAAGCGCCACCGGTGCTGTAAAAACCGACAACACTCGACTCGACCCTTTGCCGCAGTGGCCGTGCTCGTTTTTCCATTGCGAAAAGTCAGATTTCGGTAACGTACCGCATTTGTCTAATTTTCGACCGGACCAAATTTTTTATGGCCCTCGAGGGACCACTACAATACATAAAAATCAACAGTTTTGAATTTCCCTGTTCGCGCATAAGTTCTCGTATACTGATTACGCCATTCCTTATGGAAAGAAATACGCCGCATGCACTTTCCTTGATTTTCTAATTGAGGGGTTAGAAATTATTTACCAATGTTTACTATACTGCATACCACAATCATTTTCCTCGGAAAAGCTGAAATGGTAAGGTACAATCTTTTATAGAAAAGGGCAGCTGCCGTAATCTCCCCTACAAAGGTCAGTTAAAACTTGCACTTTTTTAAGTGGAACAGGAACACTCTCTGTATATAATTCTGTCATCTTTTAGCTCCTCCAAAAACTGTTCAACTTTTGATAATAATGTCCTATCTCTGATAGTTTTCGAAATATCTTGGATTTCCTGGTTTTTACATTCTAATCTTAAATAAGTTGTATGTAATTTACATAATAACGAATGCGCCCATTAATTAATTACATGGTTATACACAGGAGTAGGCCGTGATAATAAAAAAAAACAAAAGAATGCCAGAAAAGTGTCACAAGACTCACAAATTAAATAACAAATTAATAAACAAAAATTCCAAAGGTGACTCGACAGTAACTCATTTTTGATCGCATAGTATTTGCTGCAAGTGTACTCCCTAGTTCGTAGTAAAATAAGATTAGCTAAAAAACGTAGTTCATCTTTTTCGAAATTCACCTTTTTAATTAATCTTAGTTTATTACGAAATAGGAAGTACACTTGCGGCAAATAATTAATTTGTGACCCTTGTTTGCTTTATCGCATTCTTTTGTCCAAATGACCAAATTTAATCAGTTAATCCTTTGACCATTGTCTACCTATTACGGAAAACAGAATTGGAAACATTCAACAAAAGGAACTTCTACTTTTTTGGCTAATCCTTTCTGCTCTCTAAACACTTTGAAAACACTAAACACAATTACGTAACAAATATACGAGTATATGTTAAATTGAAAAATTTCCAAATATACCTAATATCATTTGGGATAGTTTACTTCAACCGCACATCTGTTGATGATTAACGCCGTATCTCTAATGGACACACGTTTATTATTTTGGTAACGAGTGAAAGTATAGAGTCGCAATACATTTATGATGGGCTTTTAATTTAATCGTATGATTAACAATTACCTTTTTTGTTTTTTTACGCCACCTCATGAGAAATCAACATTCAGATTGTATCATGTTAGAAATGACTCACGGTGCTACGATCGGGGTATTAAGAACCCGGAACGTCAACTCAAAAAACCATACATAACGATAAAAACTCACCCTTGGCCTTATTGGTTCAGTCTCCCCAAAATATGGACCATAACTCACTCATTTACCATTGGAACGACGCTACATGCACCACTCCACTTAAAGTTTGGTCAAATACTGCACCGAAAATTGTTAAATAAAGCGATAACAGGTAGTCGGCGTCGGCGCAATCACCGTATCTTTTGTCACAAATATCTTAATTGAAAAATTTAAATATTTTTAAATAAAAACGCGCTGCTGATTGGGTTATTATTTTAAATCTCGACGCGTCTAATTCTCCAAACGGATTTTTGTCAAAAAAGTCTCCACCTCAACTTTTGGAAATAAATATCCCCAATATCTTGAGAGTGGACCAGGCGAATTTCAAGATTTTGTGTCTTAAGGAGGAGACCCCCCCCCCCTCTCTTTCACAGTGAATTATTCCCTGAGATGTTGTTTTAGCACGCGAAAACATTATAATGAGGCGACGAGGTTCTGGTGCTAAATAAAAAAGTAATTGGGGGCCCCATCCCGAATTCCTTATGAAGATCGGTTGTATCCTTCTCTGTGCCGTTTTTTTTCCGCCAGAGCCCTAGAGTGCCGGAAGAAAAATGGATGCTGGAACGTTTCAACGAGCATTTCTTTTGGTGGTTGTCGGTGGAAATATATTGTTGGAAAGCTATGGACGAGTCCCTTTGAATAGTGTTATTATTGTGCTAAAATATTCGCTTCTTCTACATACAAGTAGTCCGTGCACAATGTTTTTATGTGCCGCTGAAAAATTACTCATCGGCGATAAAGAACGAAGACAGATGTGACGTAATCTGTCCGAGAAATATGACGTGTTTTGTTCCACAACATTCTGAAGCTTCCTGAGTACTCGAAAACATTCTAGAAAGAATATTGTTTGCTATATAAGCAAACCGAATTGTGTTCGAGTCAGTTCCAAATTCGATGCTCTTGTATAATCATTACTGTTATAAATTAATCCACTTTAAGTCTGTTATAAAGCTTAAATGCACACAATGGGGTCATCCCGCCTTCATTTTTTATTTCTGATCCACAAAGTACATTAAAAATAAAAAGACCCGTGTGTCCTCAATTTTTATTTGCGAGTAAAATAAACCCAAAAAAAAATTATTGAAAAGCTGTGTTTTTAGTCCGAATTTGAAACGCTTCAGACTAAATACGTCACAAACCTACAACCAATCACGTAGAAGGGAGCTGGCAACCTTACGCGAGGGGCTGACGTTTGTCACATTTGACGTTTTGAGAGGGATGTTTAACTGCATCTAGCACGAAAGTGACAAGTGCCTGTGGCAGATGACGCAAGTTATAAATGCCATTCTCCTGCAATATTGCCAAGTCGTTATGTCATCTGAATGGTTCTAGGAGCTGATTGGTCGGGCTTATTACGTCACAGAGCCCGCCACAATCATATCGTTTTGAATAAAGCTTTAAAACAGCACTAGTTTATTTATTATTTTTTTTGCTAATCAGCCTCTATTTTTAAATAAACTTTTACTGTCCAAAAAAATGTTTTATGGTTTCAGGTGCACGTTTATTAAATTAGAACTGCGGAATTCAACTATACTGTAAACCCCCATTATTTTAAATGCCAACAATGATAGGTTTTATTTTTTACTCAAAAACAGGGAATATAGAAAAAAATCAAAAGAGCGCTTCTCTTTCAAATCAACGATTAGTGAAAAATAATTTTTATTTGAGAAAAAACCATTGGCGTACTGTTTTTTTTTTCTTTAACGCAAGCATTGCTACTGTTAAACCTACACATTTAGTTTTTATTGGAAAAAGACAGCGATGGCAAACATTCGTCAGTGCTATTGAATATGAGCCGGATTAAAAGTCTGGTTCCTGAATGCAACCGGAGTGGCAAAAAATTCCCCCCCTAAAAATCGTACGCGTTTCTTCGTAACTTGTTGTATACATGATGAAAGTATGCAAAATTTTAAAAACAGTTTATAATTGTAATAAAATACAGAGTGATTCATTTAAAATACCAAAGTCTCATACAACATTTATGGAGCACCCTGTCCATACAACCAATGTTTATGTTATACACATTCTATGTCTCTCTAATTAGACACCCTGTATTTTATTATTGCGAGAATTGAATATTAGCAGAATGAGTTCGATGAAAGTTTTTAATCAGTCAACACGAAACTCAGTTTTAATACAAACTTACAATTACACATTTCTTTAATTAAATTTTTGACATCTTTCAAAATTACTTATATACTAAGCTGGCGCTGTATGAATATCAAACTTGATTATAATTATATTCAAACAATTATTGTCATAATCCAAAACACGAAAATAGGTGTTAAAGATGTAAATATGAAGACGTCGCCTCCCTCCGTATAAAGTATGGCTAGGAGCCCTTCAATTTTAATTTTAAATAAATATGAAAGATGTAGGGTTTGCGTACGAGTTAATAAGTACCTAAACTACTACATCACACAGCACTTATACGTTTGCGCTCTCGTAGAGCATTGCGATTGTGAAATCCACATTTAGGGGAGACACCCTATATGATTGCATATTCAAGTGTCATTGGTGATGAAGTCAATTTGCAAGTAATTATTGAAGGTAGGCGAGAAAATTGTTTTCTCATGCAGCAAAAAGGTTGACTTTTTAAATATTTCACCACATTACGACAATGACGCACCCTTTACGGAAGATGACGGCTTTAATTAATTTATGTAATGGACCGGGCAGCACGGTTGGAGTGCTTGTGGTAAACATCCCCGTATCAAAGTGATTTCTAGCATTTAAACTTTGAAGAGGGGTCTCGGCAACATTTCTTGTGTTTTAATAACACGGAACGATGCAATCCTCCCTCATAAAAAAAACCTCACTTTTGTTCTAATTGAAATTTTTAATTTGGAAGCAATATTGCAATAATTTTTAATTTTTTTGTTAAGATACCTAAGACTAAGACCAACTAAACCATATAATAACTTGTACTTTGTTTCCGAATCTAAAATGATTTTCAAAAGAAAGATACTCTCAACGAATACGTTGTCTCCTTTTAGAGAAAATGTGCTGATAATTTTATTAAACCTATAGTCTTTCTTGTCCATTGTTTTTGAAGCATCACTTTTAAGGTCGGTAGTGCTTAAGATACATTGTAAATCCACTATTGATTATATGGGCCCCTAGCAAAAATTTCCGAGAGCACGAAACGGAAGGCGATATTTTAATAGATGAAACCAATCTCTTTATTGTATACGTAATGCGAATAACCTGCAAATCGCATCAAATCAGAGGGACGAATAGCCATTATACCTTCCGACCAATTGAATTGTAATATCGAATTTTAGATTAACGCCGAGTCCAATTTCCTGCGCCCTTTGGATTTCTGTTTTATTAAAGTAGGTACAATTGTAATATCCGAAGGAAATAGGAAGTGTTCCTAAGAAA